CTCCTCCTCCTCCTCCTCCTCCTCCTGCCTCCTGGATGGAGTCCGAGTAGATGTGATCGGAGGGTCGCGCCGCATCGCCGACGCGTCGCCGACGCATCGGCGATGCGTCGGGGATGCATCTGCTACGTCGGCGATGCAGCGGCGATGTCGGCGTGGGGAAACACGGGCTCCACATCGAGCCGCATCGTCGATGCATCGGCGAAGCGGCGCGATCCCCCGGCGCCCCCTACTGGGACCCCCTCTAGGAGGCATAGAGATAAGGGAAGGGCAGCTCAGTGGGGAATTTGGACGCCCGAAATGGGCACGGAAAGAATGGGTACAATGCCCAACAGCAAATGTTGTCCCAAAGCAACAGCGGCCGCTGTTGGGCAGGCGGCCTTCTGCCTCGAATGGACACAGGCCGCGGCGGCACCGACAGCGAGTCCTGTTCAAGATGAAAGGGATCCGCTGTTGGGCATTGTACCCGTTCTTTCCGTGGACAAACCTCCCTTTCGTAAGCCTCGCTTTCGTGAAGATGGCCTGGGACCGAGACCGACGGACCTGGACCCGCAACAAGAACTGCTGTTGGGCATTGTACCCATTCTTTCCGTACCCATTTCGGGCGTCCAGAGGAAGAGCATGGGCCCGGAATCGGCGAAGCGGCGCGATCCCCCGACGCCCTCTACTGGGGCCCCATCCAGGAGGCCCACGCGGCAACCACTGGGACCGCCCGACGCCCTCTACTGGGACCCCCCGACGCCTCTACTGGGACTGCCATCCTCCGAAGTGCCCACCGCCCGAGGAGGAGGAGGAGGGGGAGGAGGAGGAGGAGGAGGAGGAGGAGGACGCCTCTCTGGGGGGGCAGCTCAGTGGGGCACCGCTGACAGACGGGCCCCCGATCGCGCACGCTCCCGGGCGCGGCCGGCCACCGGGCCCCCGTCGGCAGCACAGGGGCGGTCGGGGGCCCATGCGCCCCCCCCCCCCACGAGGACGAGGAGGAGGACGAGGAGGAGGACGAGGAGGAGCAGGAGGTGGAGGAGGAGGAGGAGGAGGAGGAGGGAGGAGGACGAGGAGGAGCAGGAGGAGGAGGAGCAGGCCTGCCTCGCGTTTCCCCTGCGGTGCGTGCTCTCGTCGGGTGCGCGCGGCGTGGAGAGCGGCGGTCGTTGGGGGCGGCAGCGGGGGCGAAGAGCCCAGAGGGGAGGGCAGAGGATGTGCCCGGGGGCGCCGATGGCGCATGCCCTCGGCGGAAGCGCCTGGGCGAACAGGTGCAGTGCCCTCCCCTGGGCTATTCGACCCTACAGGGCAGATTTTAATACATAGGATTTCTTTACAAAAATGTATGATTTTAATGCATGATTAATTTGTGAATGAATTCATGCATGAACTCATCGTTTTTTTTCATACTGAATCCCTGCATTTTCAGTACATGATCCGCACGCGGAGCATGTATTAAAAACGGCACTGTACAGTAAACCCGTATTGGAAGGATGCGCGTGTGAAGGATGCAAGGGCCTCGGAGGGCCACGTCAACGCTTCTCGAGCGGGATTGCCCAGCGAGCGCGGCCAAGGATGGACCGAGGAGGCAAGGATGCAAGGGTACCCTTGGGACGGTTGCCCATCCTTACTATGCGGGTTGACTGCAGTGCCCTCCCCTAGGCTTTCGCCCCTACAGTCAGCATTGATTGGAGCGGACGCGCGAGAGGACACCAGACCCCTGGCCACACTGCCACAGGGATGCAAAAAAAAACACGGGCCTCCAAAGGCAGGACACGAGGGGGGAGGGAGGGAGTGATGTAAGGAACCGAACTTTCTACACCGATGCTTTTTTCCGGTCCCACACTGAGATTCGCACAAGAAAACGGATTATGGTGTATACGGCATCCTGGTGCATACATGTTTTGTTGCTTCCGCGGGAAAACAAAAGGAAAAAGTACACACCACACCTCCCCGACGTCGTCCCCGACCCTCAAGAAGGTCCTGGGATTGAAGAACCGCCCGCCAGGAGGAGGAGGATGAGGAGGAGGAGGAGGAGGAGGAGGAGGACCACGACGACGACGACGAAGCCGACGAGCAAGCACGTTCGAAGCTTATACGCATGAGTCCGTTGGCCGACACGCCGCTGGAGGACCCGCAGTGGCTCGGGGCCAGGGGCGCAGGCGAGGCGCCCGAAGGGGCCGGGCCAGGTCACTGGTTATGTACATGCTCCAGTTTCCGAGGATGGGGGTCCCTTGATCTGGCAGGGTCGACCTACGAATCGAGGCCGACGGTGTCGTCGCCTCCGAGGCCGGCGCTCCCCGCGGCCGCCGTGCCCCGCGAGACTCCGAGGCAAGCCGAGCGACGGCCGGGCCACTCCTGCGCCTGCCGCCCACTGCCGTCGAGGCAGCCTGGCCGTCTCGGGAGGGGTGGGGCTCCGAGGAGGAGGGGGAGGGGGAGGGGGACGGGGAGGGGGAGGAGGAGGAGCAGGAGGAGGAGGAGGAGGAGGAGGAGGAGGAGGAGGAGGCGGAGGAGGAGGAGGGGAGGAGGAGGAGGAGGAGGAGGAGGAGGAGGAGGAGGAGGAGGAGTAGGAGGAGGAGGAGGAGGAGGAGGAGGAGGAGGAGGAGGAGGAGGAGGGGAGGAGGGGAGGAGGAGGGGGAGGAGGAGGAGGAGGAGGAGGAGGGAGAGGAGGAGGAGGAGGAGGAGGAGGAGGGGAGGGAGGAGGGAGGGGGGAGGGGGAGGAGGAGGAGGGGGAGGAGGAGGGGGAGGGGGAGGAGGGGGAGGAGGGGCGCTCTCCCTCGGGCTGGCCGGCGCGCCCGCGCCGGCCCCGCGGCGCCCGAGGGGCGCGGCCGCGCCCCCGGTGGCCCGGAGAGCGGCGCAGAGGGAGGCGCCGCACGGGGCCGGAAGGCGCTCGGAGCTCGGCGCGGAGCGCTCGGAGAGGCGCTGTCAGCGGAGCGCGGAGCGCTCGGAGAAGGCGCTCGGAGCTCGGCGCGGAGCGCTCGGAAAGGCGCTGTCAGCGGAGCGCGGAGCGCTCGGAGAAGGCGCTCGGAGTTCGGCGCGGAGCGCTCGGAGAAGGCGCTCGGAGCTCGGCGCGGAGCGCTCGGAGCTCGGCGCGGAGCGCGCGGAGAGGCGCTCGGAGCTCGGCGCGGAGCGCTCGGAGAGGCGTTCGCTCCGTGTGTTGCCCCTGCTTCTGGCACGTGCTCGCACCCTCTCCTCGCCGCAGCCTCGAGATTGGGTCGGGCCCCCGAGCCCGACGAGGGCGACGGTGCCGCCTGACTCTGCAGGCATGGCGTGTGAGAAAACAGCCACCTCGGAGAGCGGCCTACCTCCCCACCTGCGCCACCCCCCCGTGGTGACGTATACACCGCCGCCCGCCCCTGAGGCCCAGGAATTGTCCATTGGAGGGTGTCTGTGTATACATTTTTGCGGCGGAGGCCACCTTTTCCCCAGCGGCGCCTCCAGCGCCGCCCCTTGCCCGCTCCGCGCGCCAGGGAAGGGGTGTTAGTTGTTGGAGCCAGCGCCAGAGGCCTGAAAGTTGCTGTTGTGGTAACTCATGGGAGCCCCCCATTCCATCCTGCTGGCTCTTGCGAATCGACGCTGGATCGACGCTGGATCGACGCTAGTCGACGCTGAATCGGCGCCTAATCGACGCTGACCGACCCTAAATCGGCACTATCTCATCGATTCCCAGACGCTAATCGACGCTAATCGACACTGAAGACAGAATTAAGAGGGTAAACCAGGGTCCCATGAGATGCTACCGAATGGTATCCGTGTCCTGACGGTTCTGCTTATGACTACTCACATTAGCTCGCTCTCGTCATTACTATCAAGATTGGCATCATCCTCATCCGTCTTACTAGTGATCATGCCTTCTGCAAGTATCCCTACTGCTCTCATTAGCAGTTTGATTCATACTCACTATGATAACTACCATTCTAGTGGACTGGGTCGGAGTGTCGCGCCGCATCGCCGGTGAATCGACGATGCAGCGGCGACGTCGGAGGAACACATCGGACCCTGGATGACGGCGCATCGCTGGTGCATCGGCGATGCGGTGGCTTCTCCGACCCCACCCGCACCGGGTTCGCAATCGCGGTGACGCCGGCGTTCGTTTTTCTGGCACCGAGCGGGCCGCTCACCTCTGAACGCTGGCGGCTGTCCGACAGCGCAGCTCGTTCGACATCGGCTGATTCTGGGCCATTGGCGGCACTCCGCGAGGAGGAGGAGGAGGAGGAGAACGCCCGCGAAGGAGTCGCAGCCGCGTCAACGCGCCATGACCTGACCCGCTCCGGAAACCCTCGGCCCAACAGTGTTGACCTCGCCTGGAGAGGCAGAGTTTGATTCCGCCGACCTCCCGCCGGGTTGAAGTCGAGCTGAAGCCAAGCTGGAGTTGAACAGCACTGCCCTGGAAAAGGAGTGCAACTTTCATCGTCGATTTGCTTTCGTCGCCTTTGGTTTTTCGTAGTTGTCGGCCTCTGGGGCCGTTTTCGGGCCCCAGGCCCCAAGCCCGTCGGAAACAGACCCGGTCTGAAAAACTGTCCCCAGAGAAGTACCCCGGAATATTTTGCGGCACGGCCTGGAAAAAGTTGCACTACTTTTCCAGGGGGGATGCAGGTTCGACCTGGGGTCGAACAGATCCGTGAGGTGGCCCCGGGGAAGAAGGTTCCTAGATGGGGTCTGATGAGATGGAGTCGGAGGATCGCGCCGCATCGCCGATGCGTTGCCGATACATCGGCGACACCAGCGATGCATCGGCGAGAACCTGCCGACCCCATCTACGGCGACCCCTGATGTGCGGAGCAATGGTGAGGGGGGGGACTGGCATAGGCGGGGAAACATCGATCTGGAATCGACGATACATCGCCGATAGATCGGCGATAGGCCCCTGATAATAGATCCGCACGTCCCTGGGCAGGTTGGGGCTATCGGCCCCCCTATCGGCGATCAGTGGGCGATCGGGGGTCGTCGTGTCAGCCTCGGGGCCACGCCTCCTCGCTGGCCTCCGCCTCCGCCTGATCACCATCCTCCTCCGCCTCCGCCCTCGCCTGAACCTCCCCCGCCTCCTCCTCCTCCTCCTCCTCCTCCTCCTCCTCCTCCTCCTCCAGCTCCTCCCCCTCCGCCTCCAGCTCCTCCTGCTCCTCCAGCACTTCCTCCGCCTCCGACTCCGCCTCCTCCTCTTCCTCCTCCTCCTCCTCCAGCTTCTCCTTCTGCTCCTCCTCCTCCTCCTCTTCCTCCTCCTCCATCTCCTCCACCATCTCCTCCACCTCCTCTTTTCCCTCTTCCTCCTCATCCTCCTCCTCATCATCCTCCTCATCCGCCTCCTCCTCCTCCTCCGCCTCCTCCTCCTCCAGTTCCTGAGGAGACCTGCATCGGTATGCCGCTGTCTCTCCAGCTTCTCTCCAGGGTGCCCATGAAGATGCCTGTGCTTTCCTGGGGTGCCTGGGGCTCTGACAGGTCTGGTGGGGCCACGGTGGTTTACACTGATGGATCTGGGATGGCCCCGAGTTGGCCAGAACTGCGACGTTGTGGTTGGAGGCTCTACCAGCTAATTAGGAAACAACGGCATGCCTGTGCGAGGGGCCTGGAGAGCTCTCCAAGGCCCTATCCAGACAGTAGGCCGAACTGAGCGCGCTGCTGTTTGTCAGGCGCTCCACTTGCCGAAGGTGACGCTCGTGGCCACCGATCTTTTGTCTGTGCATGATGAAATTGTAGCCTGGCACCAAGACGAGGCTGACGCTCAGGCTACGTATGCTGCCATTTGGAGAGATCGAGTTGCCGCTGTGGGCGAGGATCGGGAGCGGCCAAGAGGGGGGTGTCCAAGAGGGGGGGGTGCAAATCATGACCGGCGGCATGTGCGCCGCCCAGCGGGGGGGCCAGGGACGTAATGAAATAAGAAGAGGCGCCATGAAATCTGCGGAAATCTCATGGCCCGCGCCATGATATCCACCCCCCCTAGTCATCACCCCCCTCTTTTCCGCTCCCGAGAGGAGCAGGAGACCGTCGTTTTTGAATCGGCGATAACCCGGGTTATCCCCGGGGGGGAAGAGGGGGCTGGCCGATAACCTAACCTTCGCGCTGTGGGCAGCCCTGCGTATGCCCGCGCCCCCCCACCCCAGACCTGCACAACCGGCAAGGTTAGGTTATCCTGGGGGGAAGCCCGATGACCCGGGTCATCGCCGGAGCCCCCCAAAAAAACAGTCTCCAGGATCCCAGCGAACATGTCTCTGGGAATGGCACCAGAGTCGAATCGCCCGTTTGAGTTCTACCAGGCGTTGGATGCTCGGGGATTGGATTGCCAAACGTGGCGCCAGGGAGCAAGCCTGCCCAGAGAGGACCGTGAAGCAGTATGAGGCCATTATGTCGGAGGCTATTGAAGGCCTGGAAATGGGCACCAACACCAAAATCGGCGGTGTGCCTCCATTGGCGGAATATGAGCCTCGATTTCGGTGTTGGTGGTAATATTTCGGTCACCTTAGAAGCCTGAATATTACCACCATCACCGAGATCGGGATCTTCTTCCCTCGGTGGAGGCACACCGCCGATATTGGTGTTGGTGTCAACCTCTCGGCCTGCGAGGCTAAGTTCCTGGACAAGGTCTTGTTTGGAAGGGCGGCTGCTAAGACAGCTCATTGTACCGTGATGGTGAGTCTGATCGCCCGGCCCGCTCTGACAGGACCCCGTCTGCCGTGGTCCCGAAGTTGGACCTCACTCAGCATGAGATGGTACATAGGGTCGTTGGCGGGGCCAAGGTGCTCCAAGGTAAAGCGTGCTCAGGTTTAGCTAGGACCCCTGCTAGTCTGGCTAAATTGCTGGGCACGCCTTGTGCCCCGATCCCTCAGCAGACTTTGATGACGTCCAGAGACATGGGCCTGCAGGGAGCCCCTGGTATGCACTCTCAGGCGGCCCTACAGTGGACTGGCAAGGTAGGAGGCTCCTCTAGCTCGTCTGCGGCGGTTCCAGCTCACAGCGAATCGTCAGCGCCGTCGCCCAATGAGATCGGGCACCAGGTGTTGGTGAGCCGTGGTGCCATGGTGTGCACCCTGTGCGGCTCCTATCAAGCGTCTGCTCAGGCTGCAAAATGCAGCCTCGACGAGAACTGTGAAGGTCCCGCCGAGGACAAGCAGGCCAGGCATTGGCAGCGAAAATAACATCAATGCCATCCGAGCTGGCAAGCACCCCAAGACAGGTAAGAAGCTTGTCAAATGTTGATGGCCCAACAAGGCCCAATGTTGGCCCATGCTCCCGTAAACAAATTGCACGACAGGTCATCGGCGTTGTCCTCCTCCAGCTCCCCCTCCTGCCTGCTCCTCCTCCTCCTCCTCCTCCTCCTCCTCCTCATCCATCCTCCTCCCTCCTTCCTCCTTCCTCCTCCTCCTCCTCCCTCCCCTCGCCCCTCCTCCTCCTCCTCCTCCCCCTCCTCCTCCCTCCTCCTCCTTCCTCCTCTCCTCCTCCTCCTCCTCCTCCCTCCTCCTCCTCCTCCTTCCTCCTCCCCTCTTCCTCCTCCAACTCCCCCTCTTCTCTCCTCCTCCTCCTCCTCCCCATCGTCCTCCTTCCTCCTCCTCCTCCTCCTCCTCCTGCTCCTCCACTTCCTCCTCCTCCTCCTCTCCTCACCTCCCCTCCTCTCCTCCTCCGGTTCCTCCTCTCCTCCTCTCTCCTCCTCCTCCTCCTCCTCCTCCTCCTCCTCTCTCCCTCATCCTCCCCTCCTCCTCCTCCTCCTCCTCCTCCTCCTCCTCCTCCTCCTCCTCCTCCTCCTCGGGTCTCCTCCGGCCCCGGGGGAAATCGTGCACCCCCCCCGCGGGACCGCAGTGATCAGCTTCGCGGCGAGGGCTGCGCCAAGCAGGGCCGAGAGGTTGGGCGCCAGGCCTTCCGCGCGCAGGGCGGCCGGCCCAGCAGGGCCGAGAGGTTGGCTCTACGGAGGAGGAGGAGGAGGAGGGGGAGGAGGAGGAGGAGGAGGAGGAGAAGGAGGAAGACGAGGAGGAAGACGAGGGGGAGGAGGAGGAGGAGGAGGAGGAGGAGGAGGAGGAGGAGGAGGATGAGATGGAGGAGCAGGAGGAGGAGGAGGAGGAGGAGGAGGAGTGAGAAGCTGTGTGCCTACGGCTTTTTGGGTACATACCTTCTGCTGTCTCATCTACGCTCTCTTCACTCCCGTCATGCCCCAAGTCTTCTCTTCTCACATCTCAGTCGGTTATCCCCTCCTTGAGCCGCAGACGATTTAGTATCAATCCCTTCGTCGTCCGAATTCCAGGCGAACCCTTGCTCTATGAAGTGCTTCCCCTGCGGGTCATGGGCCGATGGTTGCGCAGATGGCGATGTCGGGTTCATGCTCGATTGCCATCGCAAGTCGACTGAATTGAGTCTTTGTTTGCCTTATGGATTGTGCGACAGATACGAGAAGGAATGGAATGGACACGTGGTTGTCAATCAAGCAACATACGTGTACAAAGGTGCGGAGTCCTACAACGTAATCCGCCTACTGCGCGTAGGTGACATCGTGCAAGTTCGGAGCTTAGCGATTGTAGGGCGTCAAGAGATGCTCCGTCTTTGCGAAGGGGGGTCGTTCAGGCAGACCACGTGTTCCCTGCATCTCACCACATTTGATTAAAAAATAAAATAAAAAAGTATCCCTGGTGTTGCACGTCTCCAAGGCAGCCAGTCTACGAGATTGCATTGTCGACAAGGATCTGGAACGGGTTTACCCAGGTGATGCCTTGCTTACATATGGGAAACACACCATTGCGAACGGATACCACATGGTAGGTCTTGCTGATGGGGGCCTCGTGCAAAACGTTTATGTGCAGGAGGTCAGCCCCGCGTAGCTTTGGGGAAGCGTTTCAAAAAGCCACGAGACCGTGGATGACAATTCTTCGATGGAGGCGCGTGCTGGCATGGAACAGCCCGAGGCTAAACGCCACAAGACAACTAGCATCGTTCGGAGGATGGTCGGCAACGCCAGAGGCGTTGAGGTAGCCGCGTCGCACCAGGTCCTTGCTTCTGCCGACGGCGCGGCAGACGTCCAGGCGGCAGTTGCGCGCGTGGGCTGAGAGAGCGACCCAACCCGCGCAGTGAACATGCTAGCAAAGGTTCTAGCGTTGCTGCCAACGGGTGAAACTTGGAAGTTGGTTGAAGGAGACCAAAGGAGGGCGCGAATTTTGAAAGAGACTGCAACCAAAGAAGCACTCGCAGGTCTAACCATCATCAAAGAATTCGTGACTGGCTCCATCACCGCCGGCAAAATAACCCTTCGCGACAAATTGTGTTCTGTTCGCTCAGAAACGGGATTCATTTTCGCAGCCACGAAGGTGAGTTGCATGAGTACGAACTTTGCGGCGCATTTGTGAACAGAAGGCCTGCTCAACCGAAATGAGCCAACCTTTGAACGTCGTAGAGGGAATACTGCACCAGCTCGGCAAGAAGCTGCCAGAAGAGATATGGTTTGAATGGGAATCAGTTGAGCCTGAGCTACATGCCGTCCTCGAACAAGCTCTTCTTCTGCGGCCAGGCCCCATTCAGTTTCAGCGAGAGCGCAACTAACTTGCGCAATTCAAAGGGACTCCAATCCAACCTGAGGACGACTAAGGGCTAAGGATATATGGAACACAACTTCATGCCTTCCAGAGCACTACGCGAGGGATGTCGCTAAAGGGTCCAAATCCGATCGATGGGGGCTGTTCACAAGGAGGTATAATACACCCAAACCTCCACCTACTGGCTTTGTCGTTCTCGACGGATATAGAGGCGTGGACATGAACGCAGCCGAGCCGAGCCATGCAAAAGGTTGTTATCTCAAGTTACCTTTCAAGTACGAGTCCTGCAATATCACAGACAAGGATTGCCCCGTAGTGCGCGGTCATCATCTCAGCATTCAAGAAGTACGTGAAATAGTCCTCAACTTCTTCGAGTCATTCTTCTACGATACTGACAACTACTACGCCGCTTCGTGCGCTTCGATGTATTGCGCATTTTACGGAGCACACATTCCTCTTATCAGTTCAGTCCTGATTTAGCCCTGGGCGAGGGAAACGATGGAAAGGGATTGTTTGACATTTAGAAACGTCTACGCTTGGCAAAACAACGCCGCCGTCCTCGGCCCGAGCATCGTCACGGACGATAACGAATGGCGCAAGGGAGCCCGTTATGGAGTACACAAGCGACGCGCCTGCTTTAAAGGCAAGGGCGGCTGCAAGTACAATACCGACGTGTGGAAAAGCTTTGTCATTGGCAAAGAATTAATAATCAGAGCAAATGTAAGATCCAACCGTAGTCATTTACGACGCCATGAGGAAAATTCAAAGTTGCCATGAGGAAAATAATCAGAGCATTCAACCGTAGTCAGTTACGACGATTGCCCTGTCATTGGACTCGTCTCGAAGCTCGTCCTGAGTCGGGGCGCGGCGGAATCGTCTGCGTCCACAGACTCAGCGTCGGCAAAGAAGAAGCATAATGAAGCGACTGAATCGATGTCTAAGCGTATCTTGGATGCCTGCGTCGGCATGGCGACGCTGGTGCAAGATGAGGCAAACGTCTGTCATGAGGAGGGGCAAGTCCTGAGAGGCGGAACGGATGTGCTCGAGACGGTGCTCGCCAACCGGGTGGCGCATGACATCTACAGTGGGGGCGTTGACCTAAGGAACGCTAAATAAGGAACGAGGCCCCTTTTTCCCATCAGTTAAAGTTCGATTTCCCAACGAAAACCTAAGGAAAACCTAAGACAAGCTGCGAAACAATCAAGGAACACGGAGCCCCTCCCCAACGAAAAGAGTTCCTTCTTCAGGGCCCCGACTGTACTTCAGGGGCGTCCTGATGACTACGTGGGCCGAGTGCGGCGGCCCAGCGGAGGCGGCAAAGATGCCGGATTACGAGAACGTCGGCGACGATATGAGATCTGCGGCTACCCGTGACAATTATTGCCCGGCTGTTTATTCGCAGCTTAGTTAGTACATCATATCGGCAATGCACGGTGCCGCAGATACTTTGCAAGCAAGCTGGTAAACATGCTAGTAATGGTGACGAAATGCGTCCCCCGTCATTCTCTTGCTTACCCTCCCACGGAGACGGCGCGGAGGACGGGGAGGATGAGGAACGACGAAGCACAAGCCTGGGAGGTGACAGACATGGCAGGCTTGGGAGGCTTGGCAGGCTAGGGAAGACGATCTGGAACGCTTGGGCGGGGGTGGGATGGTGATATGGGAGGCTTGGGAGCCTTGGGAGGCTTCGGAATCTTGTTGGAGGCTTGGCAGGCCTGGAGACTTGGGAGGCTTGGGAGACTTGGAGACTTGGGAGACGTGGGAGGCTTTGGAGACTTGGGAGACTTTGAAGACTTGAGAGTCTAGGGAGGGCTGGGGAGGACCTGGGAGACTTGGGAGACTTGGGAGACTTGGGAGACTTGGAGCCTTGGGAAGCTCCCACGTCTCCTGAGCCGTCATCATCATCATCAGCACCATCATCATCATCATCATCATCATCATCATCATCATCATCATCATCATCAACATCATCATCATCATCATCATCATCATCATCATCATCATCACCATCATCATCATCATCATCATCATCATCATCATCATCACCATCAGCAGCAGCAGCAGCATCATCAGTATCATCGTCAATCTCATCGTCATCATCATCAGCAACAGCCTCATCATCGTCATCGTCATCGTAACCGTCATCAACAACAGCAGCAGCAAGAGCAACAGTATCAGTATCAGCATCAATAGCAGCCTCATCATTCTCAGCACCAACATCATCGTCAACGTCATCACCATCATCGTCGGCGTCAGTATCATGAACGCAGTCGTCGCCGTCGCCAGCAGCATCGTCAGCATCATGAAAATAAGAATCACCACCACCACCATCAGCATAATCATCATCATGATCATCATCATGATCATCATCATCAGTATCATCATCATCATCATCATCATCATCATCATCATCATCATCATCATCAGCATCATCATCATCATCGTCATCATCGGCACCATCGTCATCATCACCATCAGCTCCAGCATCAGCGTCATCATCATCATCATCAACATCATCATCAGCAGCATCATCATCAGTATCATCATCAGCATCGTCATCGATATCGACACCGACATCGTCAGTATAATACTAGTCACCATGTCCACTGTGATCCTCACGTTCATCAAAGGCACGATCGTCATCGCAATCAGCATCATTACTGCCGTCAACATTGTCACCTTCATCATCATCATCATCATCATCATCATCATCATCATCATCATCATCACCATCACCATCACCATCACCATCACCATCACCATCAGTGTCGTCACCAGCGTGGCCGTCGCCGGCAAGCCCGCAGCAGCCTGACATGCGGCTCTCAAGGTAGAGGAGCACGTCGCGCTTGCAGTCGTTGAGCAGAAAGGCCTCTCACCGCCGGGAGCCCGCTGAGGTACGCCGTGAGGAGGCGACAGTGTACACGCGAGCCGGCGACGACGACGACGACGACGACGACGACGACGACGACGACGACGACGACTTCGTTAGGCTTTTCTTGAGGTCCTCGTCGCCACGGCTGGACCGATTCCAGCGAACGCTGGCACCGACAGCCTGGGCCTGAGCTTAACGGCGCACCCTGGGCAGAGGCCAACGGAGCAGAGCCTGGTGCCCGGCCGCGTGGGCAGCCCCCGGCCGCGCCAGGCCTCGTCACAGGCGACCATCATCTTGTCCAGCTCTTGCCTGCGCAGGCGCGACAGCCGCCGACTCCCTTCTGACCCTCGGCTCCTCGTCCTCCTCCTCCTCCTCCTCCTCCTCCTCCTCCTCCTCCTCCTCCTCCTCCTCCTCCTCCGCTCTTTCCTCGCTCCCAGCTTCTCGCTCCTCGCTCCTCGCTCCTGGCACCTCGTTTCTCGCCCCTCCTCCTCCTTCTCCTCTTCTTCTTCCTCCCCACGGGCTGTCCTTACATGTGCCGCTTCAGCATATGATCGGTTCCCCCCCCGGGCGTGCATTACCGTTGGCGATCCCAGACCATGACCATGGAGAGAGCGTGATCCACCGCCGCTTTACTGTGGAAAATTCCCCCCCCCTTCCTCCGTAACCTGGGGGTCCCTCCCCCCCTCCCCCCTCCGAAAATTCCCCCCCCTTCTGGAACCCGCCCCCGACCCCCCCCTTCCCCCTGGTTCGAACCCCTCCCCCCCCCAGACAACCAGAGGGGGGTCACTACCAGTTCGAACCCTCCCCCCCACTCTAGAAAACCGGGGGGGGGTCACTACTGGTTCGAACCCCCACCCACCCCTCGAAAACCAGGAAAGGTCGCTACCGGTTCGAACCCCCCCCCTCCGAAAACTGCCGGTTCGAACCCCCCCCCATCGAAAACCGGGGGGGTCACTACCGGTTCGAGCCCCTCCCCCCCCCCTTCACGCTCACCGCCAGCAAACGACCCCCGGGTCCCTACCACCGTCCGCCGCACCACATCCCCCACTGCTGTCCCCAGCACCACCACCAGTCCCAACTGTTCCCACCACCGCCCCAGTCCCCACCAGTGTTTCCACCACTGTCGCACTGTCCCCACTGTCCCCACCACTGTTCCCACCACGGTTCCACTCTCCCCACTGTCTCCACGGCACCAACCACCGTCCCACTGTCCCCACTGTCCCCACTGTCCCACTGTCCCACTGTCCCCGCCGCTGTCCCACTGAGCTGTCCCACTGTTCCCACCACTGTCCCCACTGTCCCCACTGTCCCCACCCACCACTGTCCCCACTGTACCTCTGTCCCATTATCCCACAGCCGTCCTCGCCACCGCCCTCACCACTGCCCCCACCACCACTGTACCCTCCACTGTCCCACTGTTTCCACCGCATTCCCACTGTCCCCACACCACTGTCCCCACCACCACCGTCCCCACCACTGTCCCACTGTCTCCACTGTTCCCACCATTGTCCCCGCTGTCCCCACCAGTGCCCCCACCAGTGTCTCACTGTCCCCAGTCTCCCCGCCATCGTCCCACCACGGTCCCACTCTCCCCACTTTCCCCACGGTCCCCACCACTGTCCCACTGTCCCCACTGTACCCACCACTGTCCCACTGTCCCCGCCGCTGTCCCGCTGTGCTGTCCCACCGTCCTCACTGTCCCCATCACTGTCCCACTGTCCCCACTGTCCCCACCACTTTCCCCACTGTACTACTGTCCCACCACTGTCCTCACCACCGCCTTCACCACTGTCCCCACCACTACCGTCCCCACCACTGTCCCACTGTACCCACCACTGTCCTGCTGTCCCCCCACCACTGTCCCCACCACCAAAGTCCCCACCACTGTCCGCACCACTGTCCCACTGTCCCTGTGCCACTGTCCCCACCACCACCGTTCCCACCACTGTCCCAGCATCCCATCCATTGTCCAACTGTCCCGAAGAACGGGCATCGATTGCCGTCACCGAGAAGAGGGAGTTCGAACCGGTAGTGACCCCCCCGGTTTTCGAGTGACCCCCCCCCGGTTTTCGAGGGGGGTGGGTCGAACCGGTAGTGACCCCCGTCCCCTTTTCATGATGGACTGGGGGGAGGGGGGAGAGGGGGGTTCGAACGGGTAATGACCCCCCCGATTTTCGAGAGAGGGGGGGCGGGTTGGGAACCCCCAGTGACCCCCCCCCCCGGTTTTCTGCAAGCAGCGGTAGAACACGCTCTTTCTGACCATGACATCTACAGATCCATGCAGCCCGAAGTCGCGCAAAGACCCTCCTGGAGATACTGACCGAGACCCTCCCCCGCAAGATCGGAAGGCAAAACGTCGTAAGCACCCTGAGAATCTCGGAAAGGCTGCCACTACTACTACTACTACTACTACTACTACTACTACTAATACTACGACGACGACGACGACGACGACGACTACTACTACTTTTACTACTACTACGGCTACGACTACGACTACGACTACGACTACGACTACTACTATTACTACTACTACTACTACTACTACTACTACTACTACTACTACTACTACTACTACTACTACTACTACGACTACTTCTACTACGACTACGACTACTACTACTACTACTACTACTACTACTACTACTA